CAGTATGGGTAATTCCCTGTCGCCTGTATTGAGACCCACTGCAAGACTCAGTAAAGGGGAGGAAAAGCTTCACACACCAGCTTTTCACAGATTTTCCCTTGACGCCATTGACAGCATCACACATCCAACAGTGATGCTATAATTCAGGGCACTATGGAGCACAAAATACTCTCCCTACTGAACATAAACCTTCTAAAAAAGGGCTTGTTAAAATATTTAGAAACATATTTTGAAATAACATGCATTTCCCCTTCCTCCTGTCAGACTAATTCAGCTTCTTTTTTTTATATCTTTTGGGGGACCCACATGTTTCACTCAAAGTGGATCAAATTATTTCTTAAGGCTATTTGGTATGACTACTTTGCTTTTAATATATGGCAATAGCTAAAACTGTTTTGTTTAGGAACATTAATTTGTAAATTTATTTTACTTGCTGGACATGTTATTCTCATGGCCTCAGATAATGGACTTGTATCTGTGCTCGTCCTGTTGGATCTCAGTGCTGCATTTTATACAGTTGATCATAATATTCTTTTAGAAAGACTTGAATATTTTGTTGGAATTAAAGGAACAGCTCTAGACTGGTTTAAATCTGATCTATCTGATCAAATTCAGTTTGTTCACGTTAGTGATAGATCTTCAACACGCTCAAAGGTTACCTGTGGAGTACCACAGGGATCAGTGCTAGGACCAATTCTCTTTACTTTATACATGCTCCCAATCGGTAGAGTTAGAGAGACAATCCCAGATCAAAGAGGTTTCTAGAATTTCCTTCTTTCATCTGAGGAATATTGCAAAAATGAGCAATCTCCTGTCCAGGGGTGATGCTGAGAAACTAGTCCATGCATTTGTTACTTCAAGGCTGGACTATTGTAATTCTTTACTATCAGGAAGTCCACAAACTGTAGTTAAAAGCCTTCAGCTGATCCAAAATGCTGCAGCCAGAGTTCTGATGAAAATGAAAAAGAGAGATCATATCTCTCCTATCCTGGCTTCTCTTCATTGGCTTCCTGTTAAATCCAGAATAGAATTTAAAATCCTCCTTCTCACATATAAAGCCTTAAATGGCCAAGCTCCATCTGATATCAGAGATCTGATTGTTCCTTATGTTCCTAACAGAGCACTTCGCTCTCAATCTGCAGGTTTACTAGTGGTTCCTAGAATTTCTAAAAGTAGAATGGGAGGCAGATCTTTTAGTTATCAGGCTCCTCTCCTGTGGAACCAACTACCAGTTTTAGTCCGTGAGGCAGACACCCTGTCTACTTTTAAGGCTAGGCTTAAAACTTTCCTTTTTGATAAAGCTTATAGTTAGGGTGGCTCAGGTTATCCTGAGCTATCTCTATAGTTCTGCTGCTATAGGCTTAGACTGCTGGAGGACATAGGGACCCCTTTTTCATCATTCTATCTCTATTCTCCCACTCTGCAGAATCTGTTAGTTCAATCTCTAACGTTCTGCTCTCTCTGCTTTTTCTCATAGTAGCTTCATCTGGTCTGTTCCTGTTTGGCTGTGACTCCATCCTGGAGAGAAATATCAGCTGTGCTGCTGCCATCAACACCTTTGTTTCTAGATGTTGGAGCTTGGCCTGTTTTCCAGTGTAGTCCTGTTTCTCTGACTGTGACTAACTGGATGTGCTCTCTTCATCCTCTGACATGGGAGCTGGCTCGGAGCTCGTCTGCCTGGCTGTGTGTTTCCTGGACGGGGCCGCCTGTGGAGCTGGTTGACAGTTGCCTTTTGTATCTATGCTTCTTTTTCTATGTCTGCTTCTGTCTCCTTGAACCCCAGTGGGCCTCAGCAGATGGCCGCTCACACTGAGCCTGGTTCTGCTGGAGGTTTCTTCCTGTTCAAAGGGAGTTTTTCCTCTCCACTGTCGCTACAAGCATCCTTAGTGTGAGGGATTGCTGAAGAGTCAATGAGTCGATGCAATCAGCTGGTTTTCCTTAGATAGAAAACTTTGAATCAATCTGACTGGATGATCTGGTTGAACTGTAATGTGCATTGAGATGACTTGTGTTGTGAATTGGCGCTATAGAAATCCGCTAAGTGCGGAGCCCATTCCATCCACCAGCGAGCCACCCAGGCATCCACCCCCAAACCCTGAGCTCCACCAGGCTCAGGGTTTGGGGGTGGATGCCTGGGTGGCTACTGGCTTTTTCCTCACTGCTTCTCCGCAGGGCCCGGCCAGGGCCTGGCTGGATTCACTTCGGGGTGGTTGGCTGCCTGCGGAGCCCGCGGACTCGTCCCCGAGGCTTCTGGGGCTCCTGCAATGTGGTGGCTGGGGGACTTCTCTCCTCCTCCCTTTGTGGGGGTCGGATTTCCTGGGTTTTCCCTCCTTGGTGCTTTTGCTCTTGGGGTCCCTTTGGGCGTCTGGGGCTTTGGGTCTCCTGGCGCTGGACTCAGTGCTCTGGGGGGGCGCCCTTTTCAGCTCTTCACAACCACTATTGAGCATTTTTCCTTTGAATAAACTTTACATGCACAAGTGCACTTTCACAAACAACTACAGGTGTTTGGTTCCAGGTACTCAGAGATTCACTTCCACACAGAAAGCCCATATTCTGATCTTCAGGTAACACAGAGTACATGTCAGATTAAATAATACTACTTCAGCGATAGTATCTAGGTTATTACTTTATTGTATGTCTCGTTCCATGTCTGTTGATTGTGCTGTTCTTTTTCCATCTCTTTGTAGGTGATGAAGCAGACTGAAAATATTTTATCATTATCTCCCTTCTATCTCCTCTTTCTTTCATCTTTTCTCCTTTTTTCTGTTTTTCCTCTTCTGTTCTTTCCACTGCAGTGTCCATATAATCATAATTATAATGAAGCAATTTATATGCATAAATCAAGAAGAAGACTATGGCGATAGCCGTACTGCTCCTCTGGTGAAAGTAAAATCAAAAAAAGTAAAAGCAAAAAAAAAGAAGAAGAAATAAACTGAATTGCATTGAATTGTTCCACCTGCGACACAGCCAATCAGCTTTGAACCACACCTCCACAAAAGCCAATCGGCATCTAAAGCTCATCTTAAAAGGCCTCCGATATGCACCTGTCTGCTCCTGTGCGCAGGCGGCGGATGCGCTGTGACTTCATTCAGATGACGCCGTTTCAACCCCCCTCCAGCCCCTCCAGCACCATCGTAGCTAAAGCTTCATCAGAGCGTCATTCCATCTGGACTCTCACTGCGTTCCCAGTCTCATCTCAACTGGTCCGGCAGAACACCGCCATTTTGAGCCTGGTTCTGCCAGTTTTTCCTCTCCAATGTCACTTCATGCTTGCTCATCATGGACAGGTTCTCTCAACCTGTGTTTTCCAACTGGACTTCCATCTCCCAGGTCCCTGAGTGAAGCTCTAGTATCAGCTCATGCAGTCCTCTGGATCTCCCCATAAAGCTCAGCAGACCGTCTCTCCAACCAGCAGTCTACAGACTGACCAACTCCATCTATCTCCACTCCACCACCTGTTTCAGGCCTGGAGGGAAACAGCCCTGTTCTTTACTCCTGTTCATGCATATCTATCAAAATTAAGAGCCATGTTTCCTGCCGAGGTCTGAGTGTATCTATAAATTTCTCCTAATTGTCTTTTCTCTTTGTGTGAGTTTTTCAGATTGAAATGTCAATATGTGTACATAGACTGTAAATAAAAAACCCAGACAACTCCACCTAGAATGGAGTGGCAGGGGGGTGTTTCTGAAGACCTTTGTTGACTCTGTGGTGGCATCAGCCATGATGAACGGACAGGGCATTCCTCAGAGAATGTATCAACAACACACTACTGCATCATCTGTAGTCTGTGTGACATGCAAATGTAGGAACACATTCACATGTTTGGGGTTTAATAATGAAAAACTTCTATTATCTGTACATTTGTGTAACTTTGCTTTTTGGTTGTTACCCTTCAGAAGGCTGAGGTCTCAGTAATAAACATCTTTTATATGTGTTTCTGTCCCACAATGATGCCTGAAGGGCTGAATGCTGTTGAAATAATGCACTGCAGTCTGTAGTTCTGTTCCTACCCACAATAGTTTTCTTACTGTTAACCCTAAGAAAAGAGAATGAAAAGGAGCAAGGATCAAGAGCTACATTTTGCAGAATTTAAAATCAGCCCTAGTATACCACCTGGACACAATGCAGATGTGAGGGGTCAAAAGAACTGTAGCAAAAATGTTGCTGCTTTACAGCCCATGTAGAAAGCTTTTACTGTGCTCCTTTAGTGAATGACTGCTGCACTTTGGGTGCACAAAGAGTCATTGCTGAGTTTTCCTCTTTGTTGTTGTGAGCTTTATAAAATGCAGTGTTTTTACAGCCATGTTTTAAAGCAGCAAATGTTCTTGTACTTCCATGCCTGAATTTGTTTTGAGTTTTTTTTGTGTGAATGGGCTATGTTATTTCTAACATTAGCAATTTATTTAACTTATGTTTGGCAGTCGAACTAGATTATGTTTTTTATCTCTTGTGCTGTACAGCCTATATAAACTTTTTTTTAATTTTCTTTTTCCAATTTCATGGTCTTTTGTTCCTGAATGCTATCATTTTCTTAGCCAAAGACACTCCCTATTCCTTTCTGTTCTATTGAAATAATCCAGAAGGTTAAATAGGCTATGCCTCTTATGAAGGAAAACTCACTTTCCATGCCAATGTATGTCTAGAAACTATTTAAATTTTTTTTGTAAATAATCAACTAAAAGAAAACATTTTGTATAGTTAGAGCAAATACATTTTTATGTAAATTTTCTTCAGTACCAAAAACTGAAATATTTTTTCCAGTTTCAGATAAAAACTTGACATTTCTTTGCAATCCTACATTTTTTTCAATCACATTAAAATATTGAAATTAAAATTCTTATACTATAAATTATTTTAATTTCCCATTCACACAAATCTTAACAATCAGCTAAGTTTTTTCTTGGACATATCCTGAATCGCAAAGAATGTTCAAAGCTCATCTAAAGCGTCCAGTTCTTAGTAGTAGTGCCCTTTCTGACACATAAACAGATGCACAAATGTACTGGCTCTGAGCACTCTGCTCCACAGAGAGCACAGAGGGAAGCATGCGAGGAGACAGCCATCAAAACGACTGAAGCTCACTGCACTGTTTGCCTATTGTGGTGAACACACCGGCTCCGCAAATCATTCTGGCTGCGAATCTACGTGGAGGCTTTAGTGCTGAGCGGTTTAAGGTAAACAAACAGCCGATGGCTATGTACGTTTCAAATATCCCCACAGTTTCCTGCTGCTATTTTTAAACAGCTGAAGTTGTCTCCTGCTGAGAGCCAACTGACAAGCTGTTTTAGCATTCACTGTCCACCTGCTGCTGTTATTGTATGCACAGCAGTGACTGAAGCCTAATTAAAAAAAGGCTTCATAGGGGCTCTATTGGTAAAGCTCTTGAAGCAGGTAGAGCTACTCTTTCTTTGGCAGAGTTGTCCTCAAGGCTTCAGTCTAAAGTGAGGCCTTTGCTTGGCCCGCCATGAGTAAGAATTGGCCTATTCCATATTTCATGAGGCTGACAGGTACACACCGATCTAATTTTGTCCTTGGAGACAGTTGCAAGGCCCCACATGTGATTTATCTGCAGGTCAGCAGCGGGGCTCCGTGGAAGGGGATGGATGAAACGATAACAGATGACTGCCTGGACAGCCTAAATTATGGGCACTCCTGCCGATAAAGTCCTTCATGCACTTCGCTTCAGCATGTTCCAGGAGTGGCTAAGTGAACGCAAGCTGTCATAATGGAAGTCAACACCAGTTTTGAGAAGAAGGGAACTTCTCTGCGATGGAAAGATGAAGATTTATTACCTGCTAGTTTGAACTAGGTGGTCATGTTTGATCCTCCCATCAAGAAGATCGAACATGATTACGAGGAAATTTGGCATGCATATTTACTCGTGGAGGCAGCTTTTTTGCAGATCAGGTTTTTTTTTTTTTTTTTTTTTTTTTTTTTTTTTGCATTAATAGGCAGACTGAAAGGCCTTCTGAAAATTATGCAATTTAGTGTCATGCCAGATGTGGAACTTAACATATTTGAGCTGGCAAGGATTGAGGATGAGACACTTCAATCTATTTCATGAAAAATTATATCTCCTGACTCATACCAAGCAGACATGTCATCTGCAACAAACTGGCTGCAGATGACTTGTGTAATATCATCTCCTGCATCTCCTGTGGGACTCAGATGAAGCTCGGGTTTGATTAGACCTGCATACCTACCACTTTGATTTTCCTTAATACCTGCAACAAAAACTTTGACTAATCATTACAGCCTAATGCAAGGCGGGAAAAATTGATTACCTCCCCATTATCATGACACACACAAACTTCCCTAGTTATAGGATTTTCATGTCAGGAAGAGTTAAGTCATAGTAATTAAATGCTATGGTTTATCTTTTTTTCTAATGACCCCTAAAATTATGCAATTTAGAAATAATATTATTGAACCCTTTAAAACATAAATTACAATAAAAAAAACTTGTTTTAATGTTCAGACAGAACTATATCATTTGCAGTCCATATATATATATATATATATATATATATATATATATATATATATATATATTTCTTTAGAAACTCCTAAAACTATATGTGACAAGCAGAAAATGGACAGTTTTGTTAAAGTATTTTAATAGCTTTTTAAGCTTAACACTTCAGACCCTCACTACATTCCATCATAAGATTGTTTAAGATATATAACAAAATCAAATATTTTTTTTCTATTGCATTAAACAAAAAGGAAATGTAATTATTTCCCTCTTTACTCCTAATTATGTCACGTTTTGGTTGTTTGTGGACCCAAATGCAGAGGCAGAGAGACTGAGGAGATTTCTTGCAGTTTAATTGATGAAAACCCAAAATCCAAAAATCCAACTTAAAATGTAAGTCAAACCAGAACCATTTAGACATCAGGGGAAACCGAACACGAGGAGCCAGGGAGAGACGAGGTAGGAAGAAAACAGCATTGAGAAACCAGCAACGACAGAAGCAGCAACAACAGAGGAACCAACAAGGAGTGACAGCAGAGGGACAGTATATAATGCTGACTGAGATAAAGGCAGGGCTAACGAGCTGATAAGGAGCAGGTGTGAGAGGAGACAACGAGGAAGCCAAGGGGAAAGGAAATAATAAAACTCCAATAAACCAATAAAACACACGGAAAGTGAAACTGAAAGTAAGACCATGACAAATTATTTCTCTTTTCAATGATATTTTCTCAAAAACACCAATATGATTTTTGAAGGCGAATGTGAGGCATTTCTTTCTGGTTTGTTTTTCAGCAGCGGTTTTGGCCTCTCATTTATGTCCTTTTTTAAAGTCTCTTATATTGTTGAATTAGATTCACTTATGTTGACTGAAGCAAGCGATGTCTGCTGTACTTGAGTCGCTGTAAAGCAGAGCATTATGTCTTCCTGTTTAAGACCTATTAACATCCTGTTGACAGACATGTTCCACCATGCATTTTTTTTTTATTCTGCATGGAATTAAGGAAAATAGGTATAAGACTTTTTTTGTTGTTTCATGAGTTAAAAAGTTTCAGACATGTGTTTTCATCGCCCCCCCCTTATAAATTAGATTGACCAACTGGCTCTTGATAATCAGCTCGGTTTTGTTGATCTTAATTCCACGCACTGGACTTAAGCCTTTACAAAACAAAAAATGACCATGCAACCCCATTTGAAGGCCTTAACCAGGTGAAGGATTTTTTTTAGGTAGGCTTTCCTTTGACAGTAATTAATGTTTGATTATTTTTGACGTCTTTTAGTCATATTATGCAACTTTTCAAGATACATTTGGTGGGTGATATATCTGTCTTATAAGTAAAAATTCCAGAAGAGGCTTTTTTTTTCTAACACAAAGAAAGGGCCGTTAAATCAGAATTTCCATTTTCTCCTTGCTTGTGAAAACAGTGGCCTCTCAGCAGGAAATTATGCAGATTTGAGAAAGAAGTCTGTTTAGGGGCAAAAATAAATATAGAAACTTTTGAACTCTCACAATCACATGTAGAAAATCCATAATCAGTGGAATTCCCTTAAAAAATTTCGTTCAGATACTGATTGAGTGCTTAGTCATGATCAAGATAGGCAGAATGATAACTGACGTGTCTCCTTGGCGTGATTCACTGGACACTCTGGTGAATGCAAGCAGGAGGGCCGGAGCATCTCTCCCCAGAGGACAACATTGTTACCTTTTCCAGTTCATCAGCAGTCGTTGCCCCCGGGAAACAGTCGATACCAAATGTTTGGGCACTTATTCACCGCTGTCAGCTGTCAGATATGGCAGATTAGAGATCACCTGACTACACATGGCTGACAAAACACTGGGATTGGTTACAGGCAAAACTGCTGGATGTGTACTGCTGCAGGTGACTGGTAAAGCATAAGACGAGAGAAGTTTCATTATACATGCAAAGCAAGATTATGCTTTGTAGGATAGTTTCAAAACCACCTCTAGTTAGCTGTGTAGACAAATTTGATCATTCAGGTAGCTACAGTATAGTAATCATTAATGTTATATTTATCATACAATTTACTGTTTATCAACTCTGAAAATCTCAGTCTCAATCTTAGTCTCACTTGCGAGTCCAGAAATGATGAAACTTGTTACAGTAATCAAAAAAGGGCAAGGGCTTCTTATAACATAGAAATTGTTCTTTTTTTTTTTTTTGGATTGCTGGAAATTAAGACAGACAAACTTTGATGGTGAAACGTAGAGATGTAAAAAGAAAAAGGAGGAGTCCGTTAAATTGAATAAAAAAATTTATTGTTAAAATTGAAATATAACGGAAATCAAACTATGGAGTAACTTATCTGAAGTTGGTGTCTAACAGTCTGATGAATAGGATGTTCACTGATGTTTATAATGTTCTTTATCCTATGAAAAATGTTTCTCTGTAAAATGATTCTCAGAGGAGTTATTGGTGTCATGATAACGTCTCCCTACTCTTTTTTAGTCCAGTTCCTCAAAACGCCACACGCCAAGGAACCAACCCACTTTAACCCAGTCACCCTGACCTCCCACCTGATGCAGACCATGGAGCTCCTCATCCTAGCCCACTCGTGCAATGTGGTGAGCCCCACCCTGAACCCACTGCTGTTTGCTTACCTACCTGACATTGGAGTGGAGGATGCCATCATCTACCTCCTGAAGCGGTGGCTCACCCAAACGGACACCACCAGGTGCACCGGGCCAGAGCCGGGCCAGTGATCCATGATTGGTTCCTGTGCTTGCTGCTGGACTCACCCTACAGACCTGCTGTAGTTTGAATTTAAATAAACTGTTTCATAATCTTTCAAGACTTGATGGAATGACTAACCGATGGAACCAGGCTTTGTTTCTTTCTCCAGACTTTGTAACATTCTTTTTTGCAAGTTGAAAGCTCTCTCCCGGTCGTAACACAAGTTCTCGTAATATTATTTAAGTGAGAATTCGAGTGGTTCTAATGCATTTGTGTAGAAGGTATGGCAATTTTCTGGTCCTCAAATCCAAGGATATTTGAAGTGGTCGCTTCGTCAAGGAGCATTTCAAAAGCTATTTGACACCTGGGTATAAATGTCTTTCCAGATTGCTATTTAATGTCCAGGGACTTGAGATGACAGTTGTGAATTGGCGCTATATAAATAAACTGAATTGAAACTAGGTCATTTAGGGGCTTGGTGATGGTGGACTAACTCTTTATAAACCTCAACCTAAACCTATTCTTTTAAAGTACTCGGAATCTGGATCAGCTTCAACCCCTCTCTCTGACATAATGTTTCCTAGATATTTAATGAATATCTGTAAATATTTACACTTCTCTGGAGAGAGCTTTAATTAATATTCGTTCAAATGTCCCAACACCCGCAAGCCAATCAGAAAACACAATGAGATAATCTAGAAAGACCAGCATTTCTTTTAAATTGAGATCCCCCCCTGCTCTTCTCAATAACCGGTGAAATGTCAATGGACCTTTAGTTACCCCTTGAGGCATGCAGTTAAATTCACAGAATCATATGGGCATCACAAAAGCTGTTTTAGCTTTGTTGGCTATTACATTTCGATGTGGTTGTCATGAACCGAGAACAGAGGGACCCACTATTCAAGGAGAGACAGTCAGTAGGAAAGTTCAAAACGTTTATTAAATAAACAAACAAAACAAAAGCTGAGCTGTGGCTTGCGGACACTGCAGGATGGGGAGCGGGGCACCGCCAAATCACAGACACTCCGGTTAAACAGTCCAGTCCAAGAATGTCCCCAAGTGCTGCAGTCCCAGAGGTGATGCTGGAAGCCGATCCTGGTCAGGGATCCAGAACAGACAGGAACAGACAGAACAGGCAGGATCCAGACTTCCAGGCATCCACAGGCTCCAAGGATGGTTCAGAGTCTGACAGGGTCCGAAAGCATGACCAGGTGGTCACGCACAGGAGCAGACAGGATCAGGTGCAGATGAGCAGGCTCAGGGGAAGAGGGTAGCCGAGACCGGACATGGAACCAGAACTTGATGCAGGACTTAAAACTGGTCTCCTCCCTGGAGCCAGACTTACTGAGATAAAAACTGAACCTCCCCACATATAGAGCCAAAAACCCAGAGGACTCCACGGGGGAGGAACAGTGGACGATCAGGAGACGAGACAAACACTAAAACCCTCTTTCCACTGGAAAGGATATGAACCAAGGCAAAAACTCAGACAGACAGACTAACAGAAAGACAAGTAATGATCTGGCACTGAATGCTCAGGATGAACTGAATATAACCAAGAGGAAACAGGTGAGAGGAATAAATTATAATAGAGGCAGGGAGGGAAAACAACAGGTGAAAGGAATTACTAATTAAGGAGGAGCAAACAGGCCAGATAATGACAGTGGTAATACCTAGATTCAAAATAAAGTACACTAAACCATTTGGACCCAGTCAATGCTGAAATTGACTCCTCCAGATTGGGCAAAGGATAGACATCCTTAACTGTTTGATGGCCCAACTTATGTTAATCAATCCACAGGCGTATGTCTACGTTCTTTTTTCTAAACCCCCCAAAAGGTGATTAAAAAGCCTCTGATTCACAAATTCTACCAGCCTCTAATAAGTCCCTTAGATGTTGTTGATGGCCTCAATGGCTTGAGGGTGGATAGGTCTGACTCTATATTTGAATGGAGTTTGATGTGATGTTTCACCTTGTTAGTGCATCCAACGTCTATGTTGTTAAACCAAAACTTTCAGGCTTCCTATTAAGTTTCTCCATAATTCTTGCTTTCAATTCAGGCTTGGACTGGTAATCTGTGATACCAGATTTTTGCCCAGTGGGCCGGTCCTTTTTCAGCATGGGAGGCCCTCCTTAAATCATACCCGCCCCATCATGTCCTCTCTGGCTGAAGCTCCTACCTGTGACAGTAAAAAGTTATTTCTCTGCACTGTTGGTGTAGTCATATTTTGCATGGACTATAGCTCTGTGGCATGATGAGCCGAGATGTTTTCTCATACGGATGGCTTTAGTGGCTTCATGATCCTCCTCTATTGCTTAGGCATTAATTCGGTGTTGAGTGAATTATCCCTACAACCATGGCAAAACTGGGTCAATAGATGTCAATCAGAGTCTTTATCTGAACTCCAGTTTGCTTCACAGCCTGGTTTAACACCACCTGTAGCAGTTGCAAATAGTCTGATGCTTTCTCTCCGGCATCATGGAATGTGTCCATAAATTTGGCGTATGTTGCAATCTTATACTGTGCCATATGCTGAGTGGAGAGTCTGAAAATACAATGCCGGTGGTGCACCGGGACGTTTTATCACATCAGCAGCAGGCTGTGACAAGCTATTGAATACGTTCTGTTAGATTCTGCTGTAGAATGGACACAGGAGGATCTTTCAATTGCAGCTCTACTCCGGAAAGCCAGGTTCGTAGTCAGATTATCTTTCGCCATGGCAGACTCTCAGATGCGGTGCTGACAGGTTCAGGGCCTTATCATTGTTCTTAACAATACATTCAGCAACATAAAGTTGCACTTATCCCTGGAAGAGAAGATCTTGTGGCATGTCGGGCAGTGAAGTTTTGCTTAATGGGTGGTGGTGTCTCTTTTGCATTGGTTGTAGCAGTGCAGTCAGCAATCAACTCTTTGTTGCCTTTAGACAGAGGCTTTTCCCCTGCAACAGTGGGCTGGAGTTAAGTAACTGTCTGACCAAGCAGGGATATCACACCCTTTAGAATGACAGCAAAATCTTGCCACCAATTCGGGAACATTCCGTAGCCTGACTGCTAATTTTTTGTTTCAGTGTGTGAAATTGTAGACAAGTCTAAAATATCATATGTAACTTTGTCACTCACACAAAAAATAGTATAAGGCAACAGCGGATGCAATGCAACCATCGCAGTTCCAGACCCAAGTTCAACTACGACTGCTCCACGAAAAGTGGATTTAGGTTGATAAATATATTCTAATTTTGAAATTGACCCATACTGTCCTAAAAATTCAACAACGTCTTCATCTGTTTCCGTTTAGAGTTGAATGAGTCCTTTTTTTTCCTTTCTCTGGTGCAGCAGCAGACAAAAAAAAACAACTGAAATTTGGCATTATTGCAGAGATTAGCAGCAGATAATTAGCACCAATACCGCTCCATAACATTGGGTGATTTTTAATCACACTTCACTCTCTGCAAGTATTGCCCACCCAGCATTGCCTCCTTCTAGGAGGCTTCATCCATTCCGATCCCAGCTATTGATTAATGATAGGCTGGTACTGACAACTGAAAAGCCGGTGCTACCAAGTCAGATGCCGGAGGTGGTAACTGAGAGGAGACTTCATCTGTGTTAGCTATGAAGAGGCTGCTCATTAGCACAGATGGACTGGCGACAGCATTGGACACCATGCTTTGGTTGATCATCTATAATAATACATGCACAAAGCTGAAGTTGGCTTATGGGGAAGCTTGAGACTTCTAAAAGGATATTCTATCACTTTTCTCAGTAATTTAGGCATCTTTAATCCACCCTTTTTTTAAATCCCAGTACTTTGACTCTTTAAACATGGTTTATATTATTATTATAGACTAATGAGACAATACATTCTAGAGTTTGGGATACGTTAAACCTTTATTTCATTTGTGAAATTTTAACATAGATTTCCTTTTTCTTTTATTTGGATCATGTCAGAATTGGTCAAAGGAAACAAAAAAACAGTGCTACAGTAATTATATCATTCTACACTATAGGTGCTAAATTGATTGTGTTTCTGTGTTAATCAGAATGAAGTAAACCCTAGTTAAGACTTATAGGAGTATATGCAAATAAAAAGTGTTTAAAAAAAAGTTTTAATTATAATTATTATTGTATTTTACACAGTTTAAAAACTAAAGGGAACACATAAACACAATATTACTAGAATCAAATCAAAATTCTCACTTGGATGACATCAATTTTGCATGCTGTTGTGCAAATGTAATAGACAATTGGTAAAAAGTATTGGCAATAAGTAGGCACACTCAATAAAGGATTGATAGTGCAGGTAGAAATCACGGACCACTTCCCAGTGACCAAGACTTTTGGCTGATGTTCTGGTTACTTTTGAATATTGGTGGTGCTTTAACACTTGTGGTAAGATGAGACAAACTCTACAACCCACAGTAGTGGCTCAAGTATTGCAGCTCATCCAGGATGCACCAGCAATGAGAGCTGTGGCAAGGTTTGTGGTGTCCATCAGCGTATGGTCCATAGGGTGGACGCACAAGGAGACAGTAAACCAAGACACGTGGAGGAGACCATAGGAGGGCAATAACCCAGCAGCAGGACTGCCACACCTACACTACCTTTGTACAAGGACAAACAGGAGGAACCCTTCAAGGGGCCTACAATATGACCTCCAGCAGGCCAATAATGTGCATGCGTCTGGACAAAAGGTTAGAAATGTTGTAATGCTGTGGGATGAAATTGCTTTGGAGGGTTGCACAGTCCTCCATGTGCTGGGATGAGGTAGCATGACTAGATGAGATTCTCAAAACTCTTGTGAGAGCATATGCTGGTTTGATTGGCCCTGGGCTCCTCCTAAATCTGGACAATGCAAGACCTCATGTAGCTGGAGGGTGTTAGTGGTTCCTGCAAGATAAAGGCATTGAAACTATGGACATCCCTCAGGAGACCATCCAATACCTCATCAGGATCATGTCCAGGCAATGTAGGGAGGTCATACAGGCACATAGAGGCAACACACAATACTGAGCCTAATTTTGACTTGTTTTAGGGACATTAAATCAAAGTTGGATCAGCCTGTACTGTATTTTTCTACTTAGATATATTATGTGATTCCAGTTGTTAAATTTAAT